GGTGAACAGGGCTGAGTAATGTTCCAAACGTTCTAAGATCTTAGAACACAGAAGTAGTAGGTTGGATTGTACAGATTTAGACTTGGATGAAGTGCAAAGAGAAGAATCAAAAGAATCAGAAGAAATAGGAGAACTATCTACTTTTGTTTTTGACTTTTTTCTTTCTAATAAATAATTTTGTTGATTTATCTTTTCTACTTTTTCTACTTTTTCTACTTTTCTTACTTTATTTACTTCTAATCCTACAGTGTCTATTGAATCAAAAGTGGCCATTAAAAAATCTGAGTCATAGCCCTTCAGTACTACATTCACTGTTAGGCCTCTACAAAATCCTAGGGTACATAGTCAGGGTCTGAGAGTTCTAAGGTGACTTCCAGATTTGCAGAAAAGGCTTCTTACTACAAATCCTACTTGTCACTCATTATTGCTCTAATAACCTGACAGATGTACTGTTACTTCTGTAGACAGTCCTTAATTTAGTGCCCTGACTTTCTGTAGGCAAAGTATACTCCTTACTTTCAGGCTTCTCTAATGTCTATCAGAACAGATTGATTACAAATTACAGGCAGATCAATCTAAGGACTCAGAACTGTTAGAGCTGGACACATGTGTGAGTGTTCTGTACAGACTTAATGTATCCAAGCTGCAGCTTGGTTGAAGGAGATGGTGCACATCTTCCACTTAGTGTAAGTGACTAGTTCTAGCATCATTCTGAGAATCTTATTGACCAGTTCTAGGTGAAGAGCTTTTTCAAGCATTCTAATAAGGACATTATCAAACCCAAGTGTGAATCCTACCTTCTGGGCCAGGATATTGAACTCCTGAAAGAAGGTATCAGTAGAATGTTTGCCCTGTCACAGAGACACAAGCTTGTTCTACACATTGTGCTTCTCATTCAGATTGATGAAGGAAGCACAGAGCTGCCTTATGAATTCTGAGTACAACTCATTGTTCCAAAGTCAGATTAGGCTTCTGATCTAATGACCTTCAATCTAGTTCTAGGCCTAGGTGGCTGTGTTGCCTTCCTTCATGAAGGAGAGGACAAATAGGATGTAATTGAGATCTGAGGATAGATCAGTCAAAGTAGTAGTCACATATAGTTTGACTTGGTACTGGAAGTCCTTAAAGTGCTACCTATTAAAGTCTGAAGGGTAGGCTACATGTACTTTCTTTCTGAAACAGGTTGTAACTTCTAGAATGATTGGAACAGGTTCTAAAGGGGCTGGGGGCATGTAGTTAGTAAAGGCCTCTTGGATGGAGGTCTGTACATATTAAGCTAGCTCTACTTGTAACTGCTGATCTGGCAGGACAGTAGGGGTGGCAGTTAGTGTAGTAGAGTCCATGTTTACACTACAAAGGAGTTGACACTAAACTAAAAGGGGTAATGAATAGAAGAAGGGTGGCAAAAGTTTAAAAGGGTTTAGAAAGTTTAAAATTTAAAAATGTAAAAGGGTCAGGACAAAGGAAAGAGATTGACACAACAGTGAGTACTAATGCCCAAAACATAGGAGAGTTGTAGGGTGGTAATGGGCAGTCTTGATCTGATGTCAGTAACAGTATAGAGGGGACCCAAAGGCTTGGTGAGGGGACCCAGGCTACAACTATCCTACACAACAGAAATATGGAATGTAAGTACTAGAACATAGTCAGAACTTGCAGAACAGGCAGAGAGAGAGAGTGAGACAAGAGTAGAGTATATAGAGTGAGTCTAAGAGTACAGGACTACCTAGAGTAGACAAGATTAAGACTACAGGACCAGCCTGATCTTGTACACCTATATATACTAAACTACACAAGAGTACTCAGGGAGTATGAGCTACTAAGAATGATAAGCCACAAAGAATAAAAGAAAGGAATGTCAAAGATAAAGGTACAAAGAAT